TAAAGCTGTATTGAAAGTAGCAAATTTTTTTTTTTATTGATAATAATAACATGCAATCAAATTCGTAAATATGCCTCTCAATCCACAAGATCTCTTATTTGGTGATATTGCCTTATATTAAGGTATATATTTCTTTCGTGTAATGAAAATAATAAATAATAATAATTATTAAGTATTCAGTTTGTGGTAACTTATACAATCGCGTTTTCCACACTGACTGATATAGTAATGGTAGCAAGTATTATATAAATTATGAAGAAGTTTTATTCCAATACGAGATTGATTAGTGATGTTGACTGGTAGAAAAACCTTAGCCAGCTAGAACTTAAATAAATTCCAGTTGATGAAAAAACTTTTCAGATGGTACTAAGCCTGCCGGTATTATTGTTGTATTATTTACTATTGTTATTATAATATCTCGTCTTTAATGGTTCGAATAAAACAAATAATTCGAATAGAACGAATAATTAAATAGAACGAATAATTCGAATATGACGAATAATTCAATAGTACGAATAGAAACTCTATGATTTTTATCATGCTATGATGTATTGTGTTTTTGTTTTTTGAGCAAATGTATATTTTTTTGTCATTCTAAGTAATGCAGGTGAACACATCTGAACTAAAATTCCAGATGTAAAATGAATGTCAAGAGAAATTTTTTTGGCCGGCCAAGCTGTTTAAAAATTCCTTAACCGGATAATATCACTATAAAATCAGCTCTATAATATCAACCAAAGGTTGACAAAATAATTAATCTAATAGAGTCTAGAAAAACGCAAACCAACTGGTGACCAAAAATATTTAACAGAAATTGAAGTCGTAGGAGGATTTCAAACACTTATTTGATAAAAAACAGATTTGAATCCAAATTTTTCATTTTGTGAATGGCATACGATGCAAAAAACTTCTATCAATAAAAAACAAATCCTATAAAAGGAAAACAATAGAAGCATCCAAGAATGGGCCAATTAAAAAAATAAAAAAATGAAGAGGATAACATATAGGATGAAATAAAAAGGTGATACTAGAAAAGCACGGGTGCAGGGATCCGCAAAATTCACCTGTGCTTTTTCTAGAAGGTAATGTAATAATATATAATGATCAAACATCATAATATTAATATACACAGATAAACTCGATAAGTCGGATTCAGACAAAATTTCCAACCCTTTTTTTTTTATATTTATATAAACTCTTGTTAAGCTATAAGTCGTACAACTCCTCCAGCCAGATAATAGTACAGCTCGAGTCATCTAATACCAACCAATTTTGCGTGGCATTTTTGAAGCCTAACACGTGGACACACAGAGCACTTTTGGATTCAAACTCTTTATAGTTTTATATAGTAAATTCCAAAGAATAATTCTATGAAAAGTTTTGGGGTTGAACAATTATAATTAAAAAGTTATGGCAATTTTAATTGACCTGAATTTGACACATCGTAAATAATCGATAAAGGACCATTGCCATTTGTTCATTTCTTCTTATTGAGTATGCCATCACTTACAAAAAGGCAGAAACATTTAAAAAATTTGTCTCTAAGAAAAAAAAGATTTTTCGAAAGTTGTTCTTATAATAATGAGAATGAAAATGAAAATGAAAATGATAATGAAGATAATGAAGATAATGAACCAAGTAACAATAGTGATAATGAATCAATTAATGAAAATGATAATGAATCAAGTAACAAATCAATTAATGAAAGAAAGGGAAGAAGTAACTATATTTCAAGAAAAATCTGAAGAGTGGAGTAAGAGACAAAAGCAGGAATTATTGGCTAAGATAAAGGGTTTAGAAGAAAAAATTAAGCAACTAGAAGAGGAAAACAAGAAGCTAAGAGAGGAAAAGAATGGTCAAATTGCTCAAATTGAAGTTAAAGAAACTAAGAAATGACCTTTATTGAAAATAAGAAAATAATTTAAAGAATATTGAAATTCATTCCAACTATTAAAGAAAATGGTAGTTAAAGATTTTTGCTTTTTATTAGGTAATAATGCATCATCATGATGCTTTCTTTTTCCAACATTTATTATTTTCTTTCTTCTTGGTAAATCTCATAGGTAATCCTTTCATTCCTTAGATAAGCTTCCAGTGTCTGAGTATCATTTATTTTAAAAACATATGGAGCAATTTTCTCTCCTTGTTTCTTTTTTAAAATACTTCTAATGATGCTGTAATTCTTTGGTTCCATAGTAGTTCTGATGTAAATGAGTTTCATATTAACTATTTTTATAGAGGTAATTATATATATTAAGAGGAACAAATGGAAGATTTTAATAATCACATTATTAAATTTTGACCCCTGAAATTTTTGGTAACACCAATGTTCACTTTGTTACAGCATGCCCATATATGGAAATTTATATATGTGATCGACTATGTTTGTAAAATCATATGACACCCCAATCATACATGAAAGGTAAGACACCAAAATCCGCTTATTATGATAAATATGGACCAAGTGGCTCATTTACCAAAGCAGCTACTGGAAATGAAAAAATTACAAGTCTTTTTAAAGTTCAAACTAAGGTTCCATGGACTTATATAGTGTGAGATAGTAAATCTTGGACCTATCAACTACCCGGTCACACTGATTCATAGACGGATCGTCAATTAATACTTTTTTAATTCAGAATAATTCTAATAATTCTAATTCTAATGACAGAGTATCAAAAGAAGAAATTCCATTATTTACATCTGAGCAGACCATAACCTACATGACAACTCTTAAATAATTCTGTTTTGTAAATTCCACCTAATATTAGGAACATGGCAGCCCATGATACCAATGTCTCATGCAAGAGCAAATAATTATGGAAAAATAAAGGTTGTGCTCACTGAATATTCATTCGTTTTATATTCATTCAATCAATTAAATTTAATATTCAGATAATCATTTGGTGAATAATTAAAATATTCATTCAGTCATTAAATTGATTATTCAGTGAATATTCATTGTTAACAAAAAACTTTAAATTTATTTAATCATTTTACATTCTATCAAACTTATCAATACTTTTTTTTTCAAAAAAAAAAAATATTTTCAAATATTCAAAAAAATTATTGTAATTATTATAAATTATAAATTTTTATTTTTATTCAAATGAAAAATTTATTTATTAATCTAAAAAAATTTTAAATAGCCACGTGATCTATTAAGACATATATGGACACCACAAGGTAGTTCTCATCGTGAAAACGGACGAGTAGCAAAATCTATTAAACATTTCAACTTTATTTCAAATTGGTAAATTTTCTAAATTAAAATAAAAATAAAAATTATTATCATCATTATTAATGATCTATGTGTGTAGGGTATCCAAAATGATATTATCACAGGAGAAATTAAAAAATCGAGCAGCAATGATGAAAAAGTTTATGAAAATTGCAATTGTAAGTATATTTATGTATTTTTGTTTTTTGATTAATTGATAATAGATAAATGACAATTAGTTTGAATAAATTAGCTTGTTCGTGAATCCAACAACTACAATACTTTGATGGCAATAATAGCTGCCTTAAATTCAGCACCAATTTCACGTCTTCGTAGAACGCGCGATTTAATCAAAAATAAATCCTGTTTTAAGAAATTTCTTAATTTAGTGGCGCTGATGTCTACTGAAAAATCATTTAATAATTATCGTGCAGCATTAAAATCTCAATCATCTCGTGCTCACGATGAACAAATAGGAATACCATATCTGTAAGTAATTATTAATTAAAATCAATAGATATTACTTTACTTGTATGCATCATGACTTTTAATTAATTATACTATAACATATCATATGATTTGAAATGGATTAATAGTGGTATTCATTTACAAGATTTATTATCAATAGGAGAAGGTAATAAAAATTATCAAGATGATGGTAAAATTCATTGGAATAAATTCTCATTGATGGGTGATATTATCATCATGATGCGTAAATTTCAAAAGTCGTAAGTTTTTTGATTTTTGGTTTTAAATTTTGTTAAAAAATATATTTTATAAGTACATATTCACATATTTAAATGTCAAACATTGATAGATCTTATAATCTTAAAAGTAACAAATTTATTGAATACTTTATTAACGACATGCCAATGTTGAGTGATGATGTAAATATTGATTCTTTGTTTTGTTTTTGTAATCCAGCTTTTTTCTTTTTTTTGTTTAAAAAAAAATCTAAAATAATTAATTATCTTATTTATCTTACTGTTTCGTAGGATTTATATAACAAGTCATTGGAACTTGAACCAAGGATTCGAAGATCAGCTAGTACAAGTAGAGTTCATCATTAATAATATATACGTATAATTGATTTATGTTTTGGCAAAAAGAAGGATTTAATTCATTAAATATACTCATATTCACATACACATATAAGATGTAAAAAACTAATTCTTTTTTGTACATATGTAATCATTCAATTTTGTTTATATATATATAAATTCTTAAAAAATATATAATATGCTTGTGATTATATACTGATTTGTAACATTCAGTAATATTAATATATACTGTATGTACACAGTGAATCTCCAAAAAATTCATCCACTAAATCGAGATGCAAGATATTAATATAGTGCAAGTCACTTAGTCCCGCAACTTTTTATTGATCATGTAGATCCTTCAAATCCTCCAAAAATGGAAATGCAACACCCCAAAATAAATTGTGTTTTTGAAGCCAAGACCTTCCCCTACAAAGTTACGATTTCATCTCGTTGATATCTCACGTTATTGTGGAGGATTTGAGCTTTAAAGTTGCACAAGTTTACCGAATTTACCAGTCGCAGGACATTGCAGGATCAAATGTCATCCATTATAACCGTTACTAGTCGTGGGACATTGCAAATCAAGTGTCATTCAATATAAACGTTACACAAAAAATTTATTGTCGTCCACTTCAAAA